GGTTTCGCCTTTCCTGAACAAACCTAAGCCTCGGCAAGCTCAGCATAACGTTTGTCAGGAAATTTTGCATTCCAATATATTCCAATCATAATATAAAAGATAGCCTATCGGCCAAAGGCGAATATTGAAAAGATATGAAATGACAGCGCACACAGCAGCTCACGAACAGCAGTCATCTTTTTTTCAGTCGGGGGCGGAAGCACCCGAGGTGAGAGGTACGAAAGAGCAACCGGCACACGCAACCGGCGAACCGCATCGTCCCCCGCAAAAGTGAGCCGCAGCTGCCACATCACATCATTGGTAAAGATCTGACACCATGTCAGCTTCGCACCTGACCGCCTTGGCAATAACGTTAGCCAAGCGAGGGTCATAGCTCTTTGAAACAAGCATTGATAGAACATGTTCGGATATTGCAACATCGCCCTTGTCAAGGACTGCAAAGCGCTCAACGGCCTCCGCAAGGGCACCCCTCGACGGCAAGTCCGATGGATTGGACTTGGAGGGGACTCTTTCGTACCAAAGCGAAGTCTCGAGAATGGCCTCAAGTACGGTCACAATGCAAATGATGTTAAACATGCACTGCGATGGAGACGAACGTCGAATGAAGCCAAAGCGAGCAGCATCGTTATCAATGAAAGAGACGATGCAACGTCCACGCAGCGATCCTCTCAAGCCGTAGAGGACAAGTGCAACTGCAAAGGCCTCCACTTCGCAGATTATCTGCTCCCCAGCATGCGTTCTCCAGTGGTCGCACAGCGTTCTGCAAACAGTTCCATGAAACATCCATCTCGCGCCAGAAAGGGGATCCAAGAGGATGGCGCCCCAAGTAGCCACTTCATTCTCGTAGGCACCATCAGTGTAGAGGACCATCGGCGGAGTCAGCCGGGCCACCAAAGTCCTCGGTCTGGCTCCTTTCAAGACATCCATCGCAAGAAGTGCTGCCGCACGCAGCTCCACTCCTGTGGTGCGCCCCCTAGCAAGGGCCTTGGAAAACACCAGCAAAATTAAGCAACCCATGAAGTGAGACCTCGTAGCAGGCTTGCCCTCAGCGATCGGAGCAAGCATCGTACAGATTTTGCTGATGCGCCCCGGCTTGTTTGCAATCGTGATACGGCCATTCCAAATCTCCTCAAGATGGAGCACAACTCCCAAAGTCACGACCTGTGGTCCAAAAGGGAACGAACCCGAGGAGCCTGAGCAGTCGGCACAGCACCTTGTCCAAAAGAGAAGCGGCTGGCTGAAACTCGAAGACAGTGTAGTCGTCGTAAAAATCAGTAGCAATAGCATGAAACTTGACCACCATGATGTGTAGCAGAGCCAAGGCCAGCTTGTTAAAGGCATAGACGCTGGATGTTGCACCGAAGGGAAGGCTGCGGGAAATCGCAAATGTCCAGCCATCCTTCTTGTCAGGGTAGCCAAGAACTGCATGCCGCCACGCAGAGGGCCTGACAGCCATCTGCTTGTAAGCCTTCTTCAAATCAATGGTCTTAGCTAGCAATGGAGGGGATTGCAGCATCTCTCGGGACCACGCCCCACGCAGAACCTGCCCATCGGACAGAGGCACAACCACCTCCACCTTGTTCAGCAGAACCCTTGAAAGAAAGCGCAGGAGCCCCACAGTGAAATCAGTGTCCTGCAGCACCAAATGCGAGTGGGACTCGAAGCTCTGATTTACGGCCGAAGCACTAAAGTCATCGATGACACGAACTTTGCCATCCTCGCCCTGTCTCAAGAGGAACCTCGGCGAAAGCGACCAACACTGGCAGCCCAGGAACTTCGACACCTCCTCGACAGAAGAAAAGGGGCCAAGCAGGTACCCCGCTTCAATCTCCTGAGTGGTTTCAGCAATCAAGGCATCTGAGTCAGAGTCGACGGGGTCTGAAGGAGGGCGACGTCTCATGGTTTCCTCGCGTCTGATCTACGCCTGAGCATCCAGCTGATCTGGATGGATTTGCATTGGCCGATGGCGCTCCGGAAAAAGCGCGCACGGAGGCTCGACTCCACCAAGGTCAACACCCGAGATCAAAGAGTCGACAACTGACATGTCCCCGAACCCTGTCTCCTCGAGCAGCTCACGGAAGAGACAGATGGCTTTGCCCCGAGTGACCTCCTCGACATCTGGATGCATACCTCCACGCAACTCGGCCTCTTGAGGCTCGAGCTCTTTGAGACGAGCATTCAAGTGGTTCAAAGCCTGCAGACGCGCCTTAGACACTGCAAGCGGCCCCTCAGTGCAAAGACGGAAGATGTTTCGCCGCACTGCGTCTGGCACCTGGTGAGCCCACTCGGAAGGGGCAGCCAACTCTGACGCCAGCTGAATGTGCTGCTCCATGGTATGAAACACACCGACTAAATCCGATGACCCCCCTGCGAGACGCTTGGTGTTGCACGGCTGACCACCTGGATCACTGCGCTTGCCAGAGCAGGAAGAACTAACCGGATCACCAAGCTTGCCAGAGCAGGAAGAACTAATCGGATCACCACGCTTGCCTGGGCAACTAACCTGACCTTCACTCAAGCCAGCACAGTCGGAACTAAGCGTAACATCATGCTTGCCAGGGGCGGAAGAACTAAGCGGATCACCATGCTTGCCAAGGGCGGGAAGAACTAAGCGGATCACCATGCTTGCCAAGGGCCACATCCCCCAGCGGGTCAGAGCTCTCGGCAAAAGAACCCCCGAAAGAGGAGAGCTTCAGCAACTTATAATCACGATGAGGCGGCACCTGCTCCAACCGGGCCTGGTACTCGAACTCCGGAATAAGAGCACGAGCGTGACGCGACTGATGACCAGCAGGGGCACGCACCTGCGCTCTAAGCTCTTGCGCTCGCCATTGTCCAGCCTTGACACTGGGGCGCGCCGTTGCAGCAGCAACCAAGGACCAAGAACTCACACAAGGGCGCAGGATACTCAGCCTCATCCTTAGTCTTGAACTGCCAGCTATGCCCAAGCCTGACCGGTGCCCAACCCAAGTGCTGATGTTTGCCATCACATGGGCGAGAGAGGCCTTGAAAAACCTGAGGTGACCCCTTGATTCGAGTGGCTTTGGCACGACCTGAACCGAACATGCAGCTGTCAAAGTCATAGTCCTGCAATGAAAAGTACCACTGGCGGAAAGAAGCTGGCCCTCTCCGCTTGACCAAGACGGCTAGTAATGGCCACAGCCAACTTCGCAGAGGATTCTCAATCGTGACAAGGGCACCCCGAGAGTAGGCCAAGAAAAGCACCTCAACGGCCTGTTCGTACACCTGGTTGGCTGCGGTCACCTGTTCTTGCTCGGCAGGCCGGAGGCCCGCCTTGCCAAAGAGATTGTCTGCATCATGCAGGGGTAGAGGAGCATTCGGCAGCGGCCTTTCCCTCGCCCTCGAACAGGTCCCACAAGGAAGTCCGAAGTGATACCAAGCAACATTTGCACGGCTGGCAAGGGAGGCCAGCAACACTGAGCTGGAAGATTGACGCATATCCATGATGAACAATGGCGTATGTGCGTGAAAGCGACATGAAGGCTGGTCGATGGGCAACGCATTCCATCCCGCACGCAAGGCAGTTGCAGAAAGCACGGCCGACCCTGCACATACCTCAACGAGCCACGGGGCCTTCTCACCATCTCCATCTGTCGCGACCTGGGGGGCCTGAGCGATGGCAGGAGAGCTGTTGCATGCAGGCTGGCTGAAAAGTTCCAGTGGCTCTTGAATGCTGTCACACCTGAGGGCCTCCTTGGTTGGCAGTGGAAACCTCAAGGAACGAAGAAGACGGTTATCATCCGACCCAAGGCGCACAGCCCCCAGTAAGCTGAAGAGCACAAGCACAACTCTCCTACCCTGGGCCGCTGAAGTTGAGTGCTCATGCTCACGCGCGCAGAAGGACACCGGCCCCTGGCTCACACGAAGGCGTGCAGTGTGAGTGGCCTTGACGATGATGTCCCACCTGTGGAATGAGCTCAGAGGCACCACAACATTAGGCAGGCAAGCATTCTGCGAATCCACATGCTCCTTGGTACACACGCGGTCCAAGATCACAAAGCTTGTATAATGATGCGACGGAACGATACTTGCAGCGAAACTGTTGATCACCTGGAGTGACTTGGGAAAAAGGTGGCAGGCCTTCCTCAAGCCCACCTTAATTCGACAGTAGGCGCCCCCGGAAAACGAAACCCCGTTGGCGTCCCTGTCACTAGTGTCCTTGGCAAAAGATCAAAAAGCTGAAGAACCTTGGCAGCAGAAAAGTCAAGACTGTCCAAACAATCCTGAGCAAAGTCCTCAGGCGAGGCAGAAGCCGAAGCTGACAAAACCACGGCCTCGGTGGGCTCACTGGGAGCCGCTGCTTGCTGGCCGGAAGGGCTGGAAACTGCGAGAGGGGCCAGCGACCCCCCCGCTTCATCCTTTCAATGCGAGCACTCAATGTACGGCCGCGACTCCTTGCAGCCCTTGTAGTAGCAGACATGCTTCCCAAAGCGGCAACTCTTGCGCTTCTGGAACCTGCAGATGCCCTTATTGTAGAAAGGGCAGATGAAGTGTCCCTCGGCATTCTTGGCCTTGCAGTTCACCGGGAGGTTTGCCAGCAACTCCTTCAAGGAGACACCGGCTGGTGAGGAACCTTCACCTTGCTTGCCTTTCCCATTCTTGCCCTTGCCGGTTTTCTTCGGCGGCTGATTCCTTTTCCTTGCCACTTCCCTGGGCCATCAGTAGAGGCAGAGCTTGGCGCAGGTTGGTTGGCTGGCACAGGCAGCGGCGTCATGCATGCAATGACAAGCGGGTCGAGGCACAGCTTCTTAAGCAGAGAATCCAGAGGGGGGTCGAGGCCGACCCCCACCACAATGTTACCTCGAGACTCCTGAGACATGATCTGCCACAGCTTGGCATCAGCTGACAAAATCTGCTGAATGGTCACATAACGGTAACCTGCAGGCGGGGACTCGAGGAGGGCCTGAAACATCTTGTTGCTCCACTCTTCAAGCTGAACAAAAGAGGCGAGGCCCACCTGATCAAAAGCAAGAGCCCTTCTGAGGAAGCACTGGCGCAGCCTCAACTCCCCAGACGTGTCACACCTGAGATCGGACGCCTGGTGTGTCATCTTGATGTTGCCATCACTGCCCAAAGAGAGACGGCTTTCACTCTTAACACCCATGATCTCGTCCTGCCTGCTAACACACTTCTCGGGAGGAATGTGAGAGATGAGGCCTTGGTCCAACATGGATTGCACCTTATCTACCAAGGCGTGGCCAGGCTCAGTCCGAACATCCAGAACCAAACCCTTAAGCTCATCCCGTTGGCGCTTCAGCCTCGTGAGACGCTCGGCCATTGGCATCTCCCTCGGCTGGCTGTCGGGGGTTTTCTGCACCTGCTGCTGTAGATCTAGCATCGCGTGAGTGTGCGATTCATACCAGAGCCTACGCACTGTTGGGATGTCTTTGGGCGGCACATCCTTGCCAGTCAGCCCTTTAATCGCCTCAAGGAGAGCGGCATCCTCTCCTGAATTCGGTTGAATGGCACAAATAAAGGCCAATTTTCCGAATGTATCAATCCCGGCATCGGTAAATTCGGTGATGAGGTCACCACCCAGACCGTACTTCCTCGCACGGTCCTTGAAGTGCGCCGACGATTCCAAGCCGGCCATCCCGCAATAAGCTAGCCCTGGCCTTGATCAACAAACAGGCTAACGAGGTCGAATGATCAATGGCAACTCAAGACAGGCGCCATAAACCCTCATTCACAAAAGCACATCTCACAAGCGTCCACAGCTTGACCTGTCAATCATGCAGCGAGCACAGCTGCTAAACTTCAATGATCTTTGAACCCACCTGAAGAGCACACAAGATTCAGATGCAGGGTAAGCCACAGAGCAATGTCAGCTGACAACGGAGCAGTGTGCAAACATCAAAAGAATCCGGCGGCGAATCCAACCGCGGATCTCAATCGGGCGATCACAGCCCGACGCATTGGGTGCAGTCGTCCTCCCTGAAGCCCCAAAACAGCCAAGGGCGGAAACCTGAGATTCCTGCAATCTCAAGAAGCAGACACTCAGGGTTCACAAGCCTCTCCAAATGGAAAGTCTGATCGGCAAGACCAGCCGTCTCCACCCAATCGGAAAAAAGCAGCCAATTCCAGACGCCAAAGTCAATGCTGTATCTCCCGAACACAGAGAGCAAGGCCGCCTCCTTTTTAAATAACACCGGCTTCCTATCAGATTCAGGCACCGCTATCCGCAGCGGCGCACTGTTGGCAAACATGAATCTGAGCTTCACCCTGAGACATGGGACGCATGTTAGAGGTAACACACCTCCCACACTTGAATCTCCCTGGCGAAGCCTCACAGTGCACCACCCCTGTGAGGATGTGAAAACATTGCCAGCAAAAGTAGCCTCGATGCGGGGCCGCACCGCATCGGGAGCAGGGGGCAAGTTCAGCGCCTGCAGCCCTTTGAGCAGCTCAGAGTCCGAAATGTCTGAGCCCTCACACTCTGACTCACGAGCCTCATCCTCTCCCTCGACGAGGTCCGGCTGCGTCTCCGGCAGGTGGGCGAAGTCTTCAGGAGCTCGCTGCAAGGCAAGTGCAACCCTCTGTGCCCTCGGCAAATCAGGCGAAAACCCGCCGCTAACGATAGCTCGAATGATCCGGCCCACCTTCACCATGATCTCAGCCATGGCATCTCTGCTGTACAGCAGAGCCATACCAAGCTTGGGGTGAACATGATGACCCTGTGTCAACATCTCTTCGTAGGTCATGGTCCCCGACTTAGCACTCCAACTCAATGCCGTGGCCTTTAGGCTGTGCGAGGTGAAGGCCTCGAGGTCACCTGAGACAGAAGCCAGATGCAACAACTCCCTCAACCACATAGATCCTTCACCAGCAGTCATAGGTCGCTGGAGCCACGAGGCCGAAGGCGCAAGCGCGGGCATGAGGCATGAGTGGTTAGAGATCCTCGTGGCCTCGCGATGCTTAATCCAGAATGCACCCCAACCAGGCTGCGCGGCTGCACAAGGGTTCGCCCCAGAGCTAGCAGCGGCAACATTCGATTCTGCCGGTCCTTGGCCCGGGTCTTGTAGTGCATGGTCCCTGTCTCAAGTATCACCACAGCACCACCAGACTCATCAATCGAAATTCCACTCGCTCTGGCAGCATCCGAGAACCGCGAGGAAGAGTAAATGCAAAACAGCAAAAACCCCGCAATGGTGGCCCGAGCATGGTCCTCTGTGTCGACCACAAACTCCTCCAAGGCACGAACATGCGTCACAGGAAGGGGCGGCGCTTGCCACAATGGCCGCTTCTTGAGCTCCATTGAAGAAGCCACCCCAGAAACTCTTGCAGAAACCGGAGACTTCAGATAAGCACCTGTGTGATGCATGAAAAACTTCATCGCCTTAATGAAGGAATCTGCAGAGGTCGCGCTAGCACCAGAATGCCTAAGAAAAGACACATACTCATAAACCTGCGGCTCCGAAGGGGCAAGAGGCCGGATCCTGTTGCGAACCGCCCACACAGCAAAGCGCGAGAAGTCTGATGCACGCTTGAGCAGAGTCCCTGGCGCCTTGCCTGCAAAGGCATCCTCGATCGACCTAGAAAGCACGGCCTCCTCTACGAAGAGCCCCGCCATGGCCACAAGGGACCTGCCTAGCGCAGAATCCTCCGGATGAAAAAGTACTATCGACCTTACCTTCTTGAAGGCAGCGAGCAACATCTGATCATCCGTCTTGGCAAAACGAGCTGCAAGCAAACGCCTGGCCTCGAAGGTGCTCCTTGCAGTCCAAGCCCAGGGCTCCGAAGTTTGAGGCACAACCTTGGTCGGAGCCGCCTGATCGAAACGGCCTAACAGAGGATTTGGAAAGAGGCTAGCCTGAGACACGTTCAAGCGAGGTCTCACAGACCTAGACGAATGCTCCCAAGGATACTTATACTGCAGTGTCCGCATGGCAACCAAACGAGCATTCATTGAGTGCCAATCGTCCTGAAGGCGAGGACTGGATGATGACTGACGCAAGAGCACCTGAGGAGCCACTTCAGTCGCGACCTGACCCTCCGAATCTTGCTGTGCCATCAGTGGCCCGAAGTTGAGGTCTTCATCCGGCCCTGCCACAGCCCAGGAATGCTCACTACCCTCCGGAGAGGGATAATGAGCCGCAGCATTCACGACCTCACCTTCAGGAGACGGGTAATGGGCCTCCGCACTCATGACCCCCGCAAAAGAGGCCCAAAAAGCAATGGATCAAGCAGTAAGCTGCGCAAAGTGAGCGATGCAAACGCGAGCCTCCCTGCTGCACAAAGACAACAATCTCCACGGCGGGACGTCGGTATGCAAAAGCACACGACCACCAATGGATGCCGAGCCCAAGAACAAAATGAACAGCGTCAACGGCCTGTCCAGCAGCACCTGTGCCCTAACACGAGTGGCCCGGCGGACCACCCGACAAATGCGAGGCAAATGAAAAATGCGCGGGCGCAGTCGCAGCACAAGCACTGAATCTTCTTCACTCTCAGGCGGGAGCGAAGGCAATGAAGACTCCTCCGAAGAGGAGCCGCTGTCCATCTGCTGAGTCCGCACAGGGACTCAGCGTGCACGGTGCCCTAGCAGCAAGCCCCGATTGTAGCACCCAGGGGCCTGCTAGAAAGAACCTACTGGACTCAAGGCGCCGACAAAAATTTTCCCACGCGTGGCGAGCCAGCCACTCCTCATGAGCCAATGCCCAAAGCATTCGGAGTAATCACAATGATCAAAGGAGTCACTCACGAAAATTTTGTAAAATAAATCAACAAATTGCCAAAGGCAAAATGTCAAGCATGAAAAGGGTGAATGCAAATGCGCTACACTTTGGTTTCGCCTTTCCTGAACAAACCTAAGCCTCGGCAAGCTCAGCATAACTTACAACACCCCAAGCAGCAGCAGCATTCCGGCTGAAGCCATTCAAGCAGAAGTCCAGCGGCAACTTGGCGGCTTACTCGACAGATTACAGCAGGCCGAGGCCTCGAACATGCGTCTTCAGGAAGAGCTGGAGATGGCGAGACAGCGCCAGAGGCAGGAATATGCAGCGAGTTCGGGTGAACCTTTGGGTGCTAGGGATGGTGGGGGTGATCCTTCTGCAGCGCGTCATGCTTATGCGGAACCTCAGGGAGCTCTAGGCGCTGGGGATCAAGGTGATTCCGTACCAAGGGGAGATCTAGGTGATCATGGAGCTCGGCAACGACCAGACCCATGGCAAGACCCCTTAGGAGCCCTATGGGAAGGATTTCAGCATCGCCGAAGTCCATCTCCCGAGCCTTCGGTTCCAACACAGGCGTCGTCGGTGATACAACCTGGGAATGCAGTCAGGCCTACCAGCTCCGAGGATTCGCCTACCCATGCTATCCTCGAAGCCCTTACAAAGAACCTTGTTGGGTTGCCAAGAGCTGCACATGAAGTCGTTGAAAAAGGATAATGACACCGAAGACATCCCCGAGCAGGTGAAGAACAGTACAATATCTCTTCCTATGCTTGTTGGTCCTGAAGAAGCAACTTCTGGGATAGTGTCTCAGGACTGGATTGCCCAAATTAGCGGACCGATGCAGGATTTATCTGCTACTTCGAGCGTGTGGTGGCAAGGGGTTATGGACTTGGTTCAGGTCACATATAGCAAGTGGCTTTCTGCAAATCCTCTGGAGAGGCTTCAGTTGGAGCCTTTGGGACACGAGAAGTTTACCTCTGCCAGGTGGACGCGAGTGAACTCGAGAGCCTGCACACTGATTCTACAATGTTTGGTTGAGTCAGTTAAGGGCGATTTGATTGCGAGAAGGGTGGTTCAGAGCATGCCGATGATCATGTTCAGACTACATACTTGCTATCAACCTGGAGGGGCAAGTGAAAGGTCAACTGTGTTAGCCAACTTACAGAACCCGACACCACCTACGTCGTTGGAAGGCTCTCTAACCCTCCTGAGAGCATGGCCGAGATGGCTGCAGAGATGCCGGGACCTCAACATGATGGTGCCAGACGGGTCTGTTTTAGCGCGGGCCTTGACAATGGCCACCTCAAAGTACATCAGCGAGAACTCAGACTCCCAGTTTCGGACACAGCTTGTGAGGTCGAGCCTTCGCATCGATTCGCAGCCAACGTTGGAAGATGTGGTTAAGTACCAGAGGCATTTGCAAGCAGAGGTGGAAGCCATGATGTCTTCGAGGATGGTCACTCCTTCGAATCCCGTGTCCGTTAAGTCTATGGGAACAGGTGGCTCAGGCACTACCCCTACAACGACTTCACCAAAGCCGCAGTGTAAGTATTTTATCAAGCAATCTGGGTGCAGAAGAGGGCAGAAGTGCCCGTACCCGCATGATTGGTCGGTGTTCAGCAAGACTGAGCGGGCGAAGCGATGCTTGGCATGTGGAAGCGAAGAACATCGTCAGAAGGAATGTCCAACCAAGACGCAGAAGCCCCCTCCTAAGGCGTCAGGGTCTACATCGTGGTCGTCTTCCACGCCAGCCAGCACGGGAGATCGCCCAGCAAGTGGGGCAAAGGTTCAATCCATGGAGCCAGAGAGCGAGACTTCCCCAACGGTTGGAGGAGGAGTGGTACCGGGCGAGGCGGTGTGGACGTTGGAGTCGCTGATTCAAGCAGCGGCAAAGGTTGCCGGCGCAACTCAGGGCGCTGCAAAGGCACCCTCTATCCAAGTGATGGCGATACGAGGAGGAGGGAGTGGAGTAGAGCCGAGGTCTTCATTTGCCCTACTTGATTCGGGGGCAACACATGCTCTTAGAAGAGCACAGTCGGAGGAGGAGTGGGCGGATGCCGCTCCTGTCGTCGTGAATTTGGCCGGCGGCGAGGCTGTCAGCCTGAAGATGAACAGCGGGGGAACCATTTTGGTTCCTATCACATCGTCCACAGCGGCGGGGTCCTCATCGCCGATTGTACCTCTCGGCGCACTTGCTGGACAACTTGGCTACACAATGGTGTGGGGGAAGACAAAGCGCAGGCTAGAGGGCAGGAATGGTGATGTTATTAATCTACGGATTCGCGACGGTTGCCCAGAACTCATGGAGCAAGAGGCATTACGTCTAATAGGGCAACTGGAGGATAATCGTCTTCGTGAGCTACGCTGCAACACACAAGATACTCGGAGACGGGTGAAGGCGGCAGCCCTTGCAATGGACAGAACTTGGTTCGATCATCTCCTGTCGTACGTGGACAGTGGGTTTTCAAGCGAGGCCTTTAAAGCAGTGGAATCGGCACCGTTCTTGGAGGGCATCCCAAAGCAGTGTGTGACTGGAATGTTTGATGCGGTTCCAGAGAGTAACGGTTGGGATATCCTTCGTGGGCTGAAGCACTTGAACCGGAAGGCTCGAAAGAGATTGTGGAGTTCCAAGTCATGGGTTGTCCATTTGCTTACCGGAGACCGCAAGAAGCAGGAGCTCTATCACCTCGAGGCTCACGGCCATTTGGCGTTGGAGCTTGACATTGAAAGAGGAAGGACGCAAAATGTCCTAAGCCCTGGTGTTTGGAAGGCGTTAGAATGGGGCGCAAGGCAGGGCAAGATCTCGGGAATCATTGGTGGTCCTCCCCAAGGTTCCTTCATGATTTCAAGACATATTGTTGGAGGACCCGAACCCCTACGATCGAACGAGTACCCGTATGGATGCTGGGAAGGCCAATCTGATGCAGATGTGTATACAGTCAACAAACATACCGCACTCTATGTCAGGATGGTGATGCTTCATGCCTTGTCCACTGCAGGTCGTATACGCCACCCAAGCGATCCAGGCCATCCGAGAGAAGTCGCGTTTATGTTGGAGCAGCCTCGAGACCCAAGGGGATATTTGAAGTTTCAGGACCCTCTCTACAATGATGTGGTGAGTTTCTGGCGTACTCCACTTTGGACTGAGTATGCCTTGGAGGCGGGACTGCGCACTTACAGTTTCGACATGGCTGCGTTTGGTAAGTCGTTCAGCAGACATACAACTGTGGGTACCAATCTGCCTTTGCGGCATCTTCAAGGCCTTCGCTTCCGTGCTTATGTGGATGGACCCGTCCCGGAGAAATCACCACCAGCTGTTTGGCCTACTGAGTTTCTGGAGCAGGCGACGATTGCTTTGAGGAATTGGTTTGCTGTACCTCGAATGCTGCGAATGAGTGCAGAGCAAGGGCGAGAACACGTGCAACGAGGACATCTACCCTTTAGGGCGGACTGTTCGGTGTGTGTTCAAGCGGGTGCCACCGGGCGCAGACATTCGCGAGTGGAGCATCCATCCGCCTTTGTGCTCTCGGCGGACTTGTCTGGGCCAGTGAAGATTGGTGGTACTGACCCGGATGGTCGTGGCGCTTATCCCAGAAAGTACAAGTATATCTTTGCGGCCAAGCTGCAGACACCCAAGAGCTTTGCTGAAGATGGGCGAGGCGGCTGGGTCAGCTATGACAAGGGTGAGCTACGACTGGAGGAGTACGAAGAAGCTGACGATGGGCTGGCCCCTGAGGCGAGCATTCCAGGAGCAGGAGTGGGCGATATCCCAACCGCTGAAGAAGAAGGTGATGCAGATCCCCAGCTTAAGGAGCATGCGCGACGTGATCATGATCTCGATCCAGATTTGTCGGCCCCGGAGCTTGTGAACCTGATCTTTTCATGTGGCCTCAAGGATGATAAGGCGACAACGGTGCTGGAGGCTATACAGGATGTGGTGTTGTACTGTCGATCGCTGAATATTCCGATATTGAGGTTTCATTCGGATCGTGGTATGGAGTTCCGTGCAAGAGCAACTGTGCAATGGCTTAAAGGGGAAGGTATTCGCGTCACTACTTCGGAAGCTGGAGTGCCTCAGACCAATGGTGCTGCAGAAGCTACGGTGAGATGGTTGAAGCAGAGAGCAAGGACGTTGTTGCTTTCGGCCGAGCTCCCGCAGCATTTGTGGCCGGCTGCCTTGAGCGTGGCGGCATCAATGCAGAGAGGTGATGTCTTGGGCTTTGAACCTAAGTCAGCTCCGTTTGGAGCTAAGGTCCTGGTCAGAAAGCGACAGCTTGAAGGACCCAAGTTAGAGGACTTAGCCCCAAAGTGGGTATCGGGAAAAGTACGTCGGCCTTTCTGACAGCTTGAGTAAAGGGCACCTCGTGTATGTGAAGGACGAGGAAGGAGAGCGATTTATTCATACTTTACATGTTCGCGCAGGCCTTCACGATCCCGGTCCTGTTGAAGGAGAGTTTGAAACGCACCTCCCAGA